ATATCATGACCCAATCTGAGCTTTCAGAGAATTTGGACGGCCCCACCCTGTACTATTGTGAGTTAAGAGCTTCTGATATAGGTGCATGCTTATATAAAATTCGTGATGATAGTGTTAGACCAAGAAATTTTTTAGGTACAGACAATGAGGATGGTATCGAAGCTATACTTTCAGACCATGAAGGCTATTCATTGCATGAATTTATTGATAGTGATGAGCCACTTTGGCCCATTATAGATTTTGATTTGCCACAAGAGGTGTATGATGGCATTGAACCTAAGCTTATGCGTAAAAAGATATTAGATACACTCAATCATGCCTTTAGAGATATTTGTCTTGAAATATTTCCAAAGTGGGAAAAAAATAGTATTACTGTTGCCAGTAGTACTGATGCAAAAAAAATATCTCTCCATATTTCTACTACTGGTATGAGACTTAAGAATATTGCTCAGGTCGCAATATTCACTGAACTTGTCTGTAAGAAACTTCCAGCATCTCTTCAGGGGAATAATATTATAGATAATATTGCGAATAAACGGTCATTTTCCTTGCAAATGCTTGGTTCGCCCAAGTATAATGAAAAAACAAAGAAGCATATTCGTGTAAAAAAAGCAATGCATCCCAAAGAAGGAACCATTTTTGACTTCATGATTCGCCCACCAAATGATGAATCAGAAATCGCCGAAAGTCCTCTCTTAATTGTTCTGGAACCAGAAATGAGAAGATGTCCTAGTATAAATAATGTCACCACCAATGCTGAATTCGAACTGGTAGAAGAATTGCTTCAAGAAGCTAGCATCAAAAGGTATAGTCTCTCATACCTATCTGAAAACTTTCTGGACAAATTTCCATTATCACGCGTCTCTCCATCACACTGTCTGATATGTGACCGAGAACATGATAGTGATAATGCCTATATAATACAAAATAAAAAATCATATAGTTTTTACTACTACCGAGCAAACCAAGATAGGCAATCTGGATCGAGAAAGCCTTTGAAAAAACTTACTATTAACGAAACTGTCTTGGATCAAGAACAAAAACTTCCAAGTCCCATAAAACTAGAACGATTCAGAATTTCAAATCCCAATGATCATTTTGTATGGGGTGATCTAATTGACATATATGTATCTGGACAGAAATTTTCTCGTAATGAGATTTATGACGCAATTCAGGCAACAGTTGCCTGTATTTAGACGACATCAAGATTATGGGTGCTCAAAACAGAGGATATGAATGGTAGACTATATTTTGATATGGCACCAAAACTAGATCTTGCCAAGTATGAAATTAACTTAGTTGAGCTAGGAGGAGAAGCAATGAAGTTAATTAATTTAATAGATCGGGCAGTTACCAAAGGTCTAATCCTTTATTACAATATTAATTTTCTACCATATCCGCTAAATACTCCAGCTCATGATACAAAGTTCTTTAACCTTTTTATAGGATTTTTAGCCAAACCAGTAGCAGAGATAAATAATGAAATTATGGAACCAATTCTCTGGCATGTAAAGAATGTAATCTGTAGTGAGATAAAAGACTTGATAAATATATTAGAAACTGGTGAGCATATTTAGTACAGAAGCCAGAGAAAAAGCCTGAACTATCTTAGTACTAAAATCTATATTACAACAATGTGAGAAAAATATCATCACTGATTTTATTGGTGACAAAGTCCTGGGGTCACACCTCCATTTCGCAACGTCAGATTTGAAAAAAATTCTTGGACACTTTAATAGTGCTATTCAAGCTCGAAAGCTTATCGTTATGAATAAAACTGGAATATCGAGTGGAGAATAGCATAGATTTAATGGGCATCTCAAATCACTCATAACAGAACGAATAGTAGCCATAGAGCGTAAGAGCCTTGAAACTATATGAATAAATGATTATGCTGGGTATATGGTTACAAGTAATCAGGATGCCCTACTCAAAATAGATATAGGAGATTCTCGTATAGTCTGTTTTGATGTCTCAGCACACTATAGAGGTAATATACCATATTTTGACCGGCTAGAGGAAATTCTTGACCATCTTGATGCACCAGGAGTAGTCATATTATATCTTCTTAGCCATGATTTATCAAATTGAAGTCCTAGAAAAATTCCTGCAACCAAAATGAAAGTAGATATAATGCGTAAACAGCTTTCAAATCCTATCCAATTTTTAATTGACCACATTGTATCTTGGGTTGAGAATAGTATACTTATATTAAGTAAGAAAGTATTATATCAAAAATATCTTGAATGGTGTGGGGATAATGGTGAAAAGCCATTATCTAACAATATTTTTGGTAAGAAGCTATTAGAAAAAAATATTATTGAGTGTAAACAGGGGCAAGTAGGTAATAGAAAAAAGGAATAGCAATATATTCTTAACTGCTCTAAAAGCATAGTTAAGCTTCGTGAGTTTGTCCTAGGCGATATTAAAAAATTATCTAACATACCTTAATCTGACATACCCGAAAATAAGACAACAGATATACTAATATTTAATGTGCCAGAAAACACTTCTTCAAAAACAGCTCTGTCTTGACTAGAAAAGATTCTTTCATTTAGTGATAAGAAAATAGATAAACAGAACAATATAATCCAAGCTTTATTCAACTATATGGAAAAAGAAGCTGAAGCACCAGTTGCTTCAACATCTGAGACTTCCGAAACTTCTAAGATGTCTAACCTACCTGAGCCAAAAATCGTTGAGCGGTCTCAAAAGGACCAGCTCGAAACTAGCAAGCTTCCCGAACCTATTGAGCTTATAAGTGGAGTGGTGCCTGATACACCTTCTAAAGAAACTGATTCTTCCAAGCCTATTAATGAAGTATCATCTGCAATACTTCTGAGCAGGGCCTAGCGCAAAGAGTGCTTTAGAAAAAGGGCAATCGAACTTGGTAAAGATCTTGATATATTTGTAACTATCACAAAAAAGGACAGGCTCGTTTCTACTGCATTTTTTTATAAAATAGAAATAGATGCACGAATATGCGATTATGCAAAAAGGAGTAAAAAAGACCCAAATGAAAATATAGAAATGACAGTATGAGAAAGATTAATAGGAGAAGAGATTATCCAGTGTGAACTTGAGAAAAAAGGAATCACATCCTTATAGCTCGATACCGATGAGGAATGGCAAAAAAATATAAGCATACTTCAGGAGAATGGTATGCTTTGGTAAAGAGTGAATAAGAAGCCAGTTTACAAGTGAGGTATTTGGATAAGAGGGTTCTTTACAATTAGGCAAAATAAAATCCCAAATTATTAATTATTTTTTTCGAATTGAAAAATAAGTAGAGTAGTATAACTAGGTAATAATTGCAATCTATTTATCATTGACATGTCTACTAAAGCAACCACATCAAAGACCTGAAAGCCCAAAACTAATAACTTTGTATTGATTTTAGAGTAGTTCCTAGAAAAGCATAATTTGATGGCTGACTTCACTCCAGAACAATTAAGAGAACATGCTCCCAAACTCGATGTATTACTTCCTGATTGGATAGCTCGCAGGTGTGTTAAAGTCATTCTTGCCAGAGGTATTGATAACAGACGCTCATTTAGTGAAGAGCGGATAAAGGCTCTCTTATCAGATAAGAGAAAAGGAAAACTCACCATAGAGGAAAGAGCAAAATATTGTGCTAAGACTGGTGATAAGTGGGACATTTTCATTCATTCTTGTGACATAGGTCCAAAAAGTAATGATGATAAAGAAATTGTCGCCAGTTGTTTACGGCTTTCACTATTTCATAATGAATTGCTGAAAGTTGGTGTTGCTCATGAACTAATTGATACTTATGCCAAAGACTCGAATGTTACTACAGCTTCTAACAAAATTCAGAAAGAATGAACTAAGCAAGATGTAGCCAATAATTAGTTAAAAATTCCACCGTATTTTTCCTTAGAAAAGAGACTTAAAAGGATTCAGAATATCGATACTACTAATGATCTCTCATTACAGGATCTTGCAGATATAATAATGATATTGTGTATAAGGCTAGCTGAAGTATCTAGCCTCCAGATCAATCACTATGAAGTTGACCCTTCCAGTTCTCCAGCATGGCATAAAAAACGGTTATTCTTGGTATTGTACCAGATATGCTAAGAATAAAGGAGAAAATAAGGATAATCTAGAGTCTCACCCATTTCTTACCATGGAGAAGAATCCAGAACGTGCAAGAACACTACTTATTTGGATTCAAGAAGCTATAAAGGCTAGAAAGTTGGGTGATCCCACCTTTAGTGAAAATAGAAAGCGGAATACTAGGGCATTTAGCGAATTCCTAAAGCTTCATAAAATTATACCTAAAATATTAAGAAAAATAGGAGGTAAGCATGCCTGCAGAGTCCATGGCAGACCAAACCTAACTCATCAGCATCTTGATCTTTTTAACAGAATAGCATTGAGACATAAGTTTGTCCGTCTAGATGCAGAAAAGAATTACGCTATAGGTGATACAGAATCAGAAGAGTCTGACTCTGAACCAGAGACAAGCGACAGTTCAAAACCTCAAATATAGGCTTCTTCGTCATCTCAAACAATAGAAATGAATTCAATGTTAGCTGAAATTGATGCAATGTTAGCTGAAATTCAGAAATAAATACCAGAAGAAGGGTCAGGTAGTGAGCACTTGTTTAGAGAATTTTCACTAGGCTCTTATATACGTGAGACTTAAATTGTCCACTATTTTCCTAATGCTATTCCCCTTTTTTCTCGCAAGCTCAAAAAAAGATATATGATTAACTGTTTTAGAAAATAAAAATCTGTTAACTAACTATAGTTTCCTTTAAGGAAACATTGCGAGAGGCAGAATCACAATTGAGAGATATATTTTTATATTAATATTTTTTTTTTTATAAATTGGTGGTGTCGAAGTGAAATAAAAATTTATGAAGTGTATACTCCCTTTTTCTTCACTAATTATTCACAATTGCTAGTAAATCGATCAGTCTGGCTCATACTTATTAAATAAAAGCTTTAGTTAATAAAATCAAAATATAAATATGCACAATATTCAAAATATTTTTAAAGAATGAGGAAAAAATAGTTATGCCCGATACATATTGACCGAATATGGTTTAAACTATATTAATAATTTAAAAACATCAGAAGCTTGGTTACAATTTCGTATTGTTTATTAAATCAAACCCGAGTTCATCGTATTCAAAAGATTTAAACCTTTCACAGAATGAGCTAGAGCATTCAATAATGCGTTGTGTTCTAATACTCCAAATGAATTAGATCTAGAAAATGCAACAAATAATCTATTTTTTGCTTGCTTAAATAAATTAGGAAGGCGCATGGTAAATAGCCTAAGAAGAATAAAACATTGACGAGCTTCCTGGTCTCGATAAAGCTTTTTCAAAGCATCTTCACCAAAACATCTTTCATAATCCTATCCGGTAAATTTTTTCTAGGGTCCCAGTTCCAATAATTGTTCTGATCATTATCACTATCTTCATCATTACTATCTTCTTCGTCAATGTCAGATTCGCTATTATCATCATCATCCCTATTGACGGGTACAACTTTATTATCTAATAATTCCAAAGCCTCTAAGAATTCATGTATCCCAATCTTATTACCAGTACTAATATCAGAATAAGTTTGTACTATAATGATAATATACCAAAATACCTTATCTCCGCCTTCTCGTGATAAAATCACTCAAAGCCAAATATAGAAAGTTATCAATACTAGATAACAGTCTTTTAAGTTTAAATATATTTTTTTTCTTGCAAGCTCGAAAAAAAGGGTTATTTAGCTTCTCTTGTCACACAGATGAGGTCATGTGATTTAACTGCATCCTGTGTTATGTAGCAAGTATTTTTGCAAATCTATTGAGAATAGATCAATGAATAATTAATCCACCAACTAATTTCTGGAATGTTCTGGCATAGTACGCGTATTATAAATCTTTAAATTAGCATTACACAAGTCAATCTGATGTCTCTGATCTTAGAATGAGACAAGAATAGAAATTACGCCAGCGATTTACAGATCTGATCCTACGAAATATGATGAGCACTATAGCATCATCCATTCTACATGATAAAATTCCATTATGGGTCATTGGTAGATTTGTATGAGGTATGAATAGAAAATTAAAATAGCATATAATTACGCAAAAAACACGTGTGATCCCTCTCTATACTAATTAATTCGTGAATAAATAGATCGCTAAGC